CCCCCCCCCCCCCTCATACCCAGCCCAAGGGGTTTTTACTACACAGGAACCGCTTCAGATCATCGTCAAACATATCCACGTTGGTATCAAAATTACATTGAAATACTGATTAGTGTTGCGGAAGCTTTCGGAGACTTTACGACCAGTATTTCAACTAAGAATTATCCTTTCATAAAACATGCAGCTGAACAAATAAGACTTCCTGACTACAGGATTCTTTCAATCAGTGTTTTCGTTTGTCAGTTTCGTACCCTTTCCAAGAAAGGCAAATAAGTGTTTTAAAACACACGCTTGAAAAAAAGATACGTATTACCATTTTTTTAATTTCACCTTTATGTATATCTTGCGTGGTATTACTCCTCAGCAGTTAGTAAAAACTGCGTCAAACTTGTTATTAATTCATCAAAAGATTAATTTTGGAAAATAAAACAAACTGCGGCGCTTTGATGAAGGATTATTCGAGAAAGAAGTTGCTATAGTGTAGATCGACCTTGGCTCACAGCTGTGTGTTTATCGATTTATAAATCAGTGAAAAATAAAATGAAGACAGATAACGAAACCTGCTTATTTGTCTGGTGAGTCCGTCGTACGAGTGGACTTCTTTTTTAACGAATTCACAGGTAGCCCAAGCTCGCAAATGAGCCTCGGTAAATACGCAAATTTTTATGAAGTTTCGTTTCGCGAGCTGGCCTTCCTGTGGCTAAATCAGCCAAATTCTTCGGAAAGAATTTACCGTTTTGAGCCACGCAAAACAGAAAATAAAAAACACCAGAACGACAGTTTCTTACTTTCGTAAAAAGAGTTTATTGAAATAAATTGATGTGCTAGATCGTTGCTCTGTCTGTTCTCTTAGCTGGAATCGCGTACATCTCTAATGAAGAGATCAGACATGAACCGAGATATCACTTCCTTCTAGGTAAACGAGACGCTCTGTAGCTACAAGGTTTTCCTTTATGCAAATTCGCGTCCATAGCTCTAATTAGGCACTTCGAACAGGATAAAAACAAAAACAGGCCATTGTTAAGATTAATTAAAGCGCCGTCTGAGTGGATCTTTTAAGTTGAGATCAGGCGATATTTTGGATAATTGAAACAATTTTTTTTAAACATCAGGGAAGAAACAACTTCGCTCCTAGGTAACAAAGGCAGGTTTGATTTTTTTTCACGAGTTCAAATTTTAAATTCATAATTCATAGAATTCTTGAAAATATTTTTGTCGCTAACTTCCATATTCTATTGGTCATTGCCAAACCCTCAACTCCCACTCCCCCCCCCCACTCCGTCCTGACGAACTCAAGCGGTGTGGTCTCTAGAGACAACGAATGCGGGGAAGGAGGGGGTGGGTGGGTGGGAAGAAGACTAATTCTCCCTTAGGACATATGTTCCACCCCTAATGTAAGGATTTCTGGGTGTGGATTCATAAACAAGAGTATACCATTTCACAATGGGCCCCAACCAATGTACCTTTACTTGTACACAAAAAAATTTATTGAATAGAATTAAGAATTTTCCATTTCTTGGCATACATACTTACAAGTATCCCCATAGATTCTTCCAAATAAAGACTAAAGAATTCATCAGATAATCCTAGAATCCAAGAATTTAAATACATCCATAGGAGAGAAACACTTGCATGTAGGAATACCTGCTAGAGGAATGCTTCCCCTTAAAAATTAATGTTTTGTGGTCAAATTAATCTTTGGTTGAAATTTTCATTTTTCTCTTTAAAATGGCCATGCTAATAGAGAACAATAAGTTTCTAAGAAAGAAAAGTAAAGTTCAACCCAAGAATAAAATTTAGTGACAAAATTAGTACAAATTTTTACTTTGTTTTTGCTCATGTGTATTGAGCATTTGCTACAATTTCCCACAATTAAGCAAAATGATAAAACTTTTACAAGAGCATCAAGAAGTAACTGAGTAAAGACTGCCTGCATCAGTTCTGCAAAGAACAACAAGTAAGATTCTTCACAAGACCAGTCTGAATTTCTCAAGAATCCACAATGCAAGTTACAGTTCGACTGAGTCATAGCAAACCATATGGTAAATACAATATGTGCAGGAATATTTATTATGGTCTATTTTGCAGGAAAAAGTTGTTTCCTTCCATGATACAAAATGAAGAGGAGCCACAAAACAGAACTGATGGGGGACTTAGCAAATTAAGTTGCTATGAAGTCCAAAACTCATTTTCCCTAATATAGCACTTCTGATAGTAGATGGGTTTCTTCCAGTGCAGTTCTGCCAGAAAATGGCCTGGATATATTGAGATCTCAGTGATTTACACCATTGAGTTGCTTCCATCTCCTGCTAATTTACCCACTATCTGAAAATTTAAATATAAAAACATCACATTACAGAATGTTAGGTATAATTTGTTCTGGTAGTGATTTCATTCAATTACTGTATATTTATATCTAACTAAATTCTGAAGTGTTTGTTTACTTCATGTACTATTTTTTTTCGTTGGATGCAAAAATATGTGACTACTGTCCAAAGCAGGTGAAACATTAGCCTGTTCCAGGCATTCATTTGGTAAAATAGAGCAAAATAGTAAATGGCATGATACCAGAAGATGGAGTGAAAAAAGCAGGAGGCTTGTATAAAGGAAAGAGGTTTGAGTTGGGTCAGCCAAACCTGTTACTTTTTCCAACCCATCTGCTTCTATCCCACCAGTTACTATTTCACTCCCTGTACTAACAGAATGCCTGCAACAGGCTGGTGAAGCATATGAAAAGCTGCAAAATCAAAAACTGTCTAATTGTACCTAGCCTGAGAGTAAAGAATTTTCCTTAATCAATTGGAAGCCAGGTAAGAAAGAGAGGAAAATGGAACATTTTTATTCAAAAGATTATCTTTAAATTCAGCTATTAATACATATCTCCAAAAAATTTTCTATTATTTTGCCAAACTAAGACAGCAGTTTAGTTTGCAAAAGTTCTTCTTTCAGAGAGTCATATCTCAATGGTGGATGATTGGAACAGGGTTCAAAATTTCACAGTTCTCTTTTCTTTAATCCTTTAACTCCCATGAGTGACCAAAACAGAATTTCTCCTTACAATATCAATACAATATCAAACAGACAAGTGATGAGAATATAGAAAAATATCAATTTGGGAATAATAAGTTGATCCAATACTAAATTCTCTGAACTAACATTGTGAGAACTATATGGTTAATAGTAAGAGGAATAACAAATTCGATCTGAGAGTTAAAAGGTTAAGCTTTGAACATTAATCACCCATGGATTTGAAAAGCAACCAAAAAAAAACCAGTTTTTAGGATTCTATCTATTATATCAGTGGAATTAATTAATGACATGCTTTGCTCTCATTGACCACACAAATGGTCTAATTTAACTACTTCTTTCCAAAAAAAAAACAATGCAAAATGTTAGCATAAATAGATTAAAAATTATAATTTTTCAGCCAGCTTTTTTCCTGCTATCACTTAAACCCTTCATTTCCATGATCTCATTAGTAATTCTCCTTACCATCTACCATGCTACCATGTAATTCCTATGTTAGTTTGGAAAATTTTCTATTGGATCAACTGATAATCTCCTTATCAATATTTTCATGATATTAATATCATTTGCCTGCTTGATATTGTATTGGTATTGTAAGGAGAAATTCTGCCTTGGGTCACTTATGGGAGTTAAAGGTTTAAAATTGCAAAAAAGGAACTTGGCTAATAAAAAGCCATACTACCTTTCACCCTTTAACTCCCATGAGTGACCAAGACAGAATTTCTCCTTGCAATATCAATACAATGTCAACCAGGTAAGTGACGAGAATAAAGAAAAATATAAATTTGGGGATAATAAGTGGATCTAATACTAACTTCTCTGAACTAACATTATAAGAATTTTATGGTTGACATTTAGGAGAAGTACAAATTTGATCTGGGAGTTAAAGGGTTAAGCATGCACAGTAGATTTATGAAAAATGTAAAGCCTACAAACCATGCTAATTCCTGGGAGGTTGAGTATATTTCCAATGACAGGTACTCTTCTTAAAAAGTTTATAACAACTGGAAAGAAGCCACTGAAAATGACGACAGTAATTACTTCAGTGCTAATTAAACAAAAAAATGTGTGCCTCCACCACACTTTTTCAACTGACAAATTCAGATATGTGTACACAGCAAGCTGCATGTTAATTAAAACCCTCTTTTCAAGAAATGAGTGTGGCGCAGCATTCCTCCCCACAAGGACTCTCTGTGGGAGAATCCTTCCCCCTTAGGAAGATTTAACACTGACCTGGAGAAACCATGAGAATTGAACTTGTGTCATACATGCTATAGATACCTCTTACTAACCAAGTGAGGGGCCAGCGCTGTAAGGTATGAACTGATAAATCGAGAATAATACATGGGCACACGTGGATATGGAATTTCTCCTCAAGTGTTTAATTTGATAGCTCATGAGAGAGATGTTGAATTGAACTAGAGAAGAGCAATTTCATATCTACAAGCAACCAGGTATTATTTTATCATAGAAACACAATAGCCCTTCACTGACAAGAAAAGTCAACTTTATCAATGAATAAAAGTAAAAGGATTGACAATCCCTGAATAAAAATGGTAAAGTGTGTTGGTGATATGGCTCAAGATGAAAAAATGAGTTGAAACACTACAAAAACAAACAGTGGGTGTAATTTTCAAAACACAAAATTCTTAGTCATTGATCTGGTCCCTACTGACAGAAGAAATCTTTCAGGTACATTGTTCTAAGCTGGGAGAAATGCCATTACCAAAGCCACTTAATATGTAACTTTTGGTTTTTTCTATGTGTATTTTGGTTTTCTTCCCCTTTGAGGAAAGTTTGAACATCACTGTCAGTAAGCGATATGGATTTTTTCAATGTTTTAGCAGTGATACCATGATTTCTGTCCATTTACCCACACAGCAAAAACAAAGAAAATCACTGATTCACACAAAGTTCTTTTATTGTTTTTGTTGACATGATATTCTTTAGCATGCACTTAACAAATTTTCACACTTTTTGTCTTCACTGTTTTATTGAGAATGATACCAATTGTAAAAATCTGTTCTTAAAAAAATCGATATCACGAGATCTACTGAGTTGGAGAAATTGCTTGAAATGGGAAAATACTCTTTACTTCAAGGCAGTGCTAGCTAAGAAAATTTCTCTGATGCATCGAATATTCTGTTACACTAATTAATTATGCAGCACCACAAAATGAACATATCGGCATCATTTTCTGTGTGAATTGGCCTGAAGCCAGTCTTTTCATGGTTGTTGAATTCTTTTATTTTCAAGTTCACTTCCCATGTAAGTGAGAATTGTTTTTTTGAACTAAACAAAGAAACAAGCTATGAAATTGACAAGGTAAGAAAGTAAGAGTATGAACAAGATAAAAGCTATGTTATCGAGTTTTGTATTTTTTTTTGATTTGCATTGACTTTCATTGAGGGCAATAAAGTCTCTTATTATAATGAGCAATCTGCGTGAAATAAACGAGTTGTTGCACAAGTTTTTCGAAGAGAATCTGTAGTGGATTTTATCACCTGTTTTTTTCCTGCTTATCGTTTTTAACTACACTGGAAACTTTAAAAATTATTGTATTACCTGCACCTTCCTATAACCCGCACCAACAACTGTTTGTGGAAAAATTAACAGATTACCAGCAGGTTATTGGCTGGAAATTACAGTAATCTGAAAAAATTCCCACAAACAACCTTGGATTGAGAATGGTGAAGGCTTCACCAGTCATTCATCACCCTGACCAAGTGGTGCAAAAGGCGAGTGACGTGTTAGCAGCTGATTGGTGATATCATGCATACATGAAAAAATATGATATTTTTTCATGCATTGTTATGGCTTTTCTCAGGGCTCGAAATCCTTGTATAACACCACAGTTTATGTGATGAAATGAGGTTAATGAGATATTTGTGATATTTCTGGGCTCAAATAGAGGACAGAGACTTCAATTCAAACAAATCTTTGAATTCGACAGGCCATACAGTGAAATATAATGCTTATTGACTGAGTTTGGTCTGGCTGAATGGGAAAATACTTGGCTTGAGGTCATGACATGCGGACCTGGGCTCAGTCTGTCTGTCATGACCTCAAGCCAGATATTTTCCTGTTTTACCCTCATACCCAGTCAATAAGTACATATTCTTGCATAATTGAACTACAACTTACCTAAACAAAAGTATAAATCCATAAATTTCTATGATCATTCCTATAAGAGGCCAACCAATGAGAACAACTAAAACTCCACCAAGAAAACAAGAACTTCCCTTGAGCTTGTGTTTTTGAAAGAAAAATCTAAAAGTTCTTTCTAATCCAATTACCAGTGCTAATCCAGAAATGAATAGTATCTGTAACAGATAAGACAAAAAAAAAATCCAACTGAAACACCAATACTAAGTAAACTCTTATCTTCATCCTCTGACCCCTATGAGTGACTAGCATCTAATTTCTCCTCACAATATCACCCCTGAATCACACATTAAGGTCAGGAGAAAAAAGGAAATGATCATGATCTGAAGAAGCTCTTAACTGTTAAACAAATTCTCCTTGGAGCACCTAAGGAAATGTATAGAGAACAGTATGGAGAATAAAGATACTGATGTTAGGACGCAAAGGGTTAAAAGTGTAAATACTTATGAGCTGCAGAGAAATTTGTCTGGCCTAGCTTTTTAATGTAGGGAGAATAGTTACATCGTATCTTTTTCGTTATCAATCAATAAGCACCTGGCAATTAGTTCTCATCTAATTGAAAATGATCAATTATGATGACATTCTGAACTGCTGAACAGTATCCACAGACGTTTGTGTGTAATATCTCAAATGACAAGAGCCCAATATATTTGATTATGAACATGCTTAGCACCGGTAGAAATACATTGCAAGAGATCTAAACGCTCTCCAATTTTCGCTGATGCTTTAAAAATTTAAGCAGGAAGGTGTTAGATACTTACATTTCCAATAGCTAAGAGACCTTTGTCGAAAAAGAACAAAACTCCCAGAAAGAGAAAAAATACTCCAAAGCCTGTCACACCAATGCCGATTTCTAAAAATCAATTTTCAAACAGAAAAATATCAAAGACAGATTTCATGTGAAGTGTTGAAATGAAAAAGGGGTTCTTACTTTGATAATCTGTAATAGGCAACATTTCCCAAGGTCATACGTTATGTTTGTTATCTCTCTCTACCGTACTACAACTCATTTAGATCTATGACCGGAAAGCCACGTTGAATATTATCACTACGCATGCTTCATTCTAACCGCTGGTCAAATAAACTGCACAGTCAGCAGTTCATAGTTCATCAAGGAAAATATAAAGGATACTGGCACGCAATGTCACGGCAGAAGTTTACTTGGACAGCAACGTATACGTTAGTGTTGGCGGGAAACCTTGTTTGTTTTACCGAGGCAAATCGGCTGAAAATTTTTTTCTGATCTTGAATTAGAACGATCAGCCAACATTAAGAGTATGTAGTTATGCTTGGCAAAGGCAGATTTCACGGAGAATTGTTCTTACTGAACATTACACACATACCACCGGCATATTTCGCCGAGTCCATTCAAGCACTTGGTTTTTACGTGGGAGGCGAATTGTGGCGTCCTGTTTGTTTTCGGCAAGAATTTTCTGGCGGTGTTTGTTGACCGCTAAGAAACGAAGCTAGTTTCGTTCATCGGTTTCAAATTCGATAGGTAGAAACAGAAGGGAAAGGAATCATCCTCGCGGTGCGTGTGTTATCTACTGTGAAGTCTCGTGAAACATGCGGAGAACTGGAAAAGCCAATGTCTTAACTGCCTTGATCGGCCGGGAAACAAACTTTCGAAGAACTCACGACCACGATTTGTTAGCATCGTACGCCGAAGATGCCTCTGTGATGTCCTGTAATCGAACAAAGGTACGATTTTAGCTCTTGTCATTTTACCGGTCAATGTTTGTAGACTGGTGTTACTGTTGTTGTTTTCATGTCGATTTTCAAGTTCCCTTGAGATTGTGTGACCTTTTTGAACTAAAATTAATCGCTTCAAGATAATTCGTAATATTATTTTATTTTGATCGTGGAGAGGGGGTTTTCAGTATGTTTCTATCATAAACCGCAATTTTACGAAAATTTCCTGTCTTTTTCGTTGATTCCCTATACCATGACGACATTTGTATCTATCACCAGGACACAATAAGCCAAACTTCGTCCGGTTCGGTATCTTCGTTTCTCGCCATGAAGTGGGTGTTAAAGAAGGCATATGTTTCCTACTGTTTAGTTTTCCACTCGACTATATGTCTTCCTTTCATGAAAATTCCTAATCTCGGGCCATTGTGTTCCTCTTAATCGCCTCTGTTTTGTCAATGTCAAGTTCAGATGATTGACGTGCCATTAGCCTCTTGTATCGCCCCAAGTTCACTCCAGTTCATGACCGAAATCTACATTGTTTTTTTTTTCTCAAAATGGACAACAATCTTTTATATTAATATATTTCTCACACACTGCTACCTGAGTATCTTTCATGACCTATATATTTCTGAAGACTGAGCAGATTTTTACTGAAACCTTTTTTTTTTTTTTTTTTTTTTTTCAATTCGTGCACGTAACCACGAACTTATTGCGTAGTGACCTTGACAAACCTGACGAAAGTAAAAACAACAGTAGTTTGGTCTCTGTTTTGACGAGAGACAATTCCTATCTCTCATTAAGAATTCAGAATTACCCGATTTGTAACGTGGTTGGAGGAAATTCTTATGTAGCTCTTGAAAACACAAGTAGATTTGTCTTGACCTTCGCGGCGCGGCGACCAACCCTGATATACTTTCGGTTCTAAAGAAGGCTTCGATTGTGCTATTGTACAAAGGTATTCGCATCAATCAAAAGCAGTCTCATTTTTTGGCCGTAGTTTTAATTGAAACTTTGTAGTCAGGTTTTATTTTCTATGTCAGGGTGTGGTTCATGGACTTGACCTTGCTCGTTTTTGTTGTACAAGCAAGCCATCAATACGATGCAAATACGCATGTTATGACAGGAAATTATATTTACTAGTCAGAAGGTGTATTTGAGATCTGAAAATTAAACTTGTTACCATCTGGTGTGATTCAATACGAAATACGAAGACAGACTAAACTTGCACAATTGTACTTTGAGTTTGTTTTACATATCAATCAGGAGATGGCTTCTCAATTAAAACTGAAAACCATTTGAACGTAGGGCAGATAGTAATGGGAAGGAAAAGCTTAAATCACTAAATTAATAAAATTAATGTCCAGTGATATTGCTGTTTTCCAATTTGATATGCTTTCTGATAATTTTTGTCTCTGACATTGGCAGTGGCAGTGCCAATGACCTTGAACTTGGGCAACTTGTATTAAACCAAAATAAAACCATACTGTGGGTGATATTTTTTGTCACAATTAAAACTTGGCTTTCAATATAATCTGTCAAACATGAATTTAAGATAAACCATAAGTAAAAACTTTGCGAGTTACTGTATTTTGCCTTAATATACATAGTAATCATGTGAAGCTCACTTCCAACCAGTGATTTTTAATTTTTTTATTTTTTATTTCTCTTCTCTGAAAGATGTTATGTATGCACTAGTGAAGACATTAAAAGTAAAAATGTCAACTTGAAAATTAAATTTGGCTATAAAGTTTTCTGAATAGTTCTGTCAGTATTTGATTAGAAAAAATTCATAATAAGTGAGAAAGTTATTTAAATCACAGTTGCCCCCTATCTTGCTTAAATTTTGAAATTAAGTTTAATTTTTTTTTTTGAAGTTATGTGCGATGTAACATTTTACTTAGAATATACTGTGTAGACAAGATGGACTTGCTATCTTTGACACAAGACCAGTATTTAACTTCTACAGTACATGTAAGCTATCTCATTATCCATAACAATTGAAATAAGCTGACATCCCATCCTGTTCTGAAAACATTAAGGGTGACTTACTTACCAAACAAATAGTAGAAGTGATGTATAGCATGTGTATTTCACGTGACAGATAACATGTCGTGAATTTTTTCAAGACCTGTCTGTGCCACTGTAGTCTTGAAATTATGTGACAAAAGCACATAATATTTTATTATTTTTACTGCTTTTACAAAGGAATGATTTAACTACAAATGTTATTATCTTATAGAACTTGGGTGATGTAGATTTTATCTGATCTGTATCAGTTTCCTGTAGTCGTGACTTCCTACCAAAATTTGATAAACCCCTTTGCCTGCTGAGATCCAAAAATTAGATTTCCTTATTAAGGATTTTACATTCCTTGCTTAGTTCTGAGTATTTGGTGCCATATGGGAGTTAAAACATTCAGAAAGCTATGAATCTGACATATCCATTTGTATCTCAGATATGTGCCTTGATTTGATTTTCCATATAACTATCTCTAAATTTAACAGAAAATGAAGTACAAGATTTAACCAAAAGAATAGTATATTTATAATTTTAAATGCCCAGGGAAGAAAAAAGGTATTGCTTACCTTAATTTTCAGGCAGAAGATGTAAATAGAAAGTCAACATTTGTAAATCAAATTTTTCATCTTCATAAAGGCCAAATTGAAGCAGCGAGGGTTTTAAGGTTGGGTCCACTAATTTAAGCACTCACCTTTCAGAATTTGTTTCAAATCATCAATCTTTGATTGATTTTTGTGGAAATTTTGGGAGTTACCTGACATGTACAGTGGATATGATTCTATGACAGAGAGACCACTTCGAAAAAATGTCTATGAAAGGTAGTTATATGGCGTTTTTAATGTAATGCATGTATATGATTTTCATGATACTACCGTATTTTTTCAGACTAAGTTAGAACCTGTAAAATTCCATGACGGTACACAATTTACAAATATAGATGTAATGAAGAAGTATGAGAAAGAAGACTTTGAAACTGGGCTCCGCTAGATGTAAATTTGTTTGGTTGCGCAATGTAAATTTCTTTCAGTTTCATTTGTTCTTTTTCTACCTTGAATAGTTTTGCTTTGATCTAGAAAATACAGAAACACCATTCCTTCAAAAGCATTTTTATCTCTTCAGCGTAAACTACTTGATACAAGGTTTCATGAATTCTTGCCCTTAAATTACTGCTTTAATGTGCGTGATATCCAGTTCTTGTCATTGTTTAGAATTAAAACAACACGACATGCTTCATACCAATCTATTTTGGTTGCCAATTAAACAAAGAATGTAAATGCCTTTTTGTTTCTAGCCAGCCACCTACTGAATGTCTGAAATAGGCAATAGACTGTTCATGTTATTTTGGAAATAACAATAGTATTAGCTCTGTGACCTGCATGACAAAATGAGTTAAATTTAGCACTTGGTTTTGTTCCTAAATTTTGATGAAACCTATCAGCAGCAGGGATCAAAGACACCTTTATCATAAGGCCAAAAGAGAAACATGAATGTTTTATAACTTCTCATTGGGGGTAACCAGTTTCATGGTGTGATGAATAAATTTTTTTCCATTGGTACATGTATAAATAGCACTCTTAATATTGGGTTTATGAGTGGTTTGCATATTTTAATCTGAGAATGTTCTCATTCAGTAGAGTTTAATGTTGCAAATGTCCTTGAATATACCAGGTACAATATATCTATATTTAAGTCATGGTCAAATGATTAAGACCAGTGAAAAGTTACTACTACAGAATCTTTGTTTGCAAAATTTTGTTGATATGAGTAGAGTCTTTTTAATCCTATCAGTTTTGCTTCACTTACCAAAATATGTTCCTCTAGGCTAGGATTTTAAAAATACCCTGTTATGCTATTAGTGGATAAATTTGATAATTGTTCAATATGTGTTGTAGGGTTTCAGTACTCGAAAGGAAAAAAAATCAATTTATTTTAATGAGATTTAAGGTGATTGTAGAAGAATTTAATAGATTGGGCAATCATGTGCACAGTTTGGCTTCTCCTCATGAATCAGAAAATAAGGGGATTAAATATTAATGTAATAAGTTATGCTACTTGAGATGAGTAATAACTGACATCTGTTCAAATAAGGCTTATACCGACTTCTTTTCACGTGATGCTATTGAACAATAACAGGAAATTTGCCAACATTCACACAAATTTCCTAAATCCCTAAGCATTAGGCTAATGTTGCATTGCCAAAGTCTATTTTTGCCTGTGTTCTTGTGTAAAAATCCAGAGTTTTCAAGTACGTAAATGCACTTATAACATTGTAGGAAGCATGGCTAAATAGATGCTGCATGGCTTCTTTTTTGCAATCAAGGGACTGTCGCCATTTGTCTGAGTGCATTTGATGGTGACATTATGGTGTCATAATGCCATCTGTTTGTGATTTTGATCAATGTCCACATGTACATGAACAAATATAACATCAAAGGAAGTGATCTAAGTGAGTCTGAACTAAAAAAGCCGCCTTTAATATTTGTTCCTTGTTTAGGAATATAGGGTCAATTTACAGTCAATTTATGGTGTACATCTGAAGTGCAGGTATATTGCATTTATTCCTGCGCATCTACCAATAAGTGTCAGTGATTTTCATGCAGATAAAATGCAAATAGAGTAATAATGCGGGGTTGTAGATAATAGCTGGCAGCTGGTGAAGAATACCAGCTTCTCTGCAAGGTTTCGCCGCCTACTTTCATTGCTTTGAGAGCCCATACAGAGATGATGTTTATCAGGTCTAAACTTGGGCTCAATAAAAATATGAATTTGCACTGCCTATCTTTTCTGAAAACATAAAAAGACTTCTGACTCAAGGGGACTGTCTTTTTGACAAATCTTGCTGTGGTGGCAGGAAAGTACAAACCATATGACGTTTTGTCTGCCCTATTGGATTTTGAGACCCTCAACTGTTTACCTTTAAAAAAGCTCCGGCTACTTAAAACCTTAAAGAAAACCCTGATAATGACCTTAATAGTAAATTACCAGTGATATTAAGAGTACCGCTAATTAAAATAGAGATTAGAACTAATAGATAAATTGGAATGTTAAAATTTTACTAGTAATTTGGAATCTACTGTATAAAAGTCCAAGGGTCGATGCTCTCATGCCTTGCGCATGAGATTCACGCGAACAAATTCAATCTCATGCTCTCACACTGGATCTATTCTTTCTCACACATGTAAGATTTTAACTCTCAAGATCTGATTATTAGTCGTCCCCTCTAATGCCACACATTTCCTTCTAAATTAGCTCAAAGAATTTGGTGTTAGATTAAGAATAACAACTTCTATGTGATAAGTTTAGGTATTCTCATTACCTGTTTGCTGGTTTGTGTCTGGATAATTATTACAAGGAGAAGTTACCTCTCGATCACTTCTGGGAGTCCAAGGGTTAAACTGTTGATTTGAGATAACAAACTGTTTCTTTAGTTAAATACCCATTATTCTTGTAAATATAATCTACTCCTTGTTTCTTTGCTCTTGCTTCAAACACCCACCAACAGTGGAAATTCTTGTACCTCTGTAAAACCAGTCAGTGCGTTTTAAATTACTTTTGCACATGCCGACAACAGACACTCCTCAAACATGCTCAGAAAAAGGAATACACGTGTACACTTCCTTTTTATGCCCCCATTAAGTTACCCCACCCCAGGAAGGTGAAGTGTCACATTTGACAGCTTAGTGTTCTGAAATTTCACTGTTTGGCAGAATATCAACTTGACAGCTCAAAAAAGTCCATACTCAAGGTAGAAATGACTTTGTTTTTAAAGGAAAAGTACTCTCTAGAAATTAAAGAGCTTTTTGTTTTCTGCCATTTTAAGGCATCACTTGGGGGTTTTCTTAGATTCCAAAGGATTGTTTAACCTTAGGAAAATAAAAGTTTACACATAAGATATCAAATTTTGAAATAAAAAATAAGGAGGGTATCTATTTACAGGAAGTCAATTGACACCAAACAGATCAAAATTTTGCCAGGATGTCTCTAACAATTGCCAAAAATGATATCCCGTGTAATAGTTATTTAAACAATGTGCTAAAGGTTATTTACAATTGCCAAAATGCTAAAGGTTGCTATGTTTTTTATTTTCAGGAATGCAAGCTGCCAGGATCACCAAGGTCAACCTTTCTTGTTTGCTTCAGTCCTGACAAGTGAGTTTTATTTTCAGTTCGTTGTACCATCATTACTATTGGTATCCCCTTTGGATACTTGACTCATATCTTGAATGAATATAATTTGTTCATATTGTTTTGTAATTTTTCTTGGTGTACATGTATGTTTAATTAACCCCTTACACCTTAACATCAGTATGAATATTCTCCTCACTGTTCTTTATACATTTCCTAAGGTGCTGACAAGGAGAATTTGTTAAACAATCAAAAGCTTCTTTTGTTGGTGATCATTTCCTTTATTCTCATGACCTTAATGTGTGATTCAGGGCTGATATTATAGGATGGAATTTGATACTAGGAACTTTTAGGATTTAAATGAATAATTAATGAAAATAATTGATTATTTAACCCTTTAACTCCCAGATTAAATTTTTAATTCTCCTTACTGCCAACCATACAATTCTCATGATGTTAATTCAGAGAATTTAGTATTGGATCAACTTATTATCCCCAAGTTGATATATTTCTTAATTCTCATCACTTATCTGGTTGATATTATAAGGAAATTCTGTCTTGGCCACTCATGGGAGTTAAAGGGTTAATTACTCATTGTTCGCTTTTAGTAGTCTGTAGTTTTAACAAATACTGTTCCTTTCCTGTATCTGGTATCTGTGGAGATTTTGTACATGTGAGAGAAACTTTATGAGTCCAAGGGAAGAAGGAGTAACTCAACCACCCCTTCCCCCCATTTCAATAAACTTTTTTAGTTTAAACTTTATTTCCGTGTGCATTCTATAACATTAACTATTTCATTTTCTTTATGCACAAAAAAACAAACATAAAACACTGTTATAGCATCATGATCAATCTAATTGTAATACAGTACATCTAATTTTTCCCAATGGTATCAACCCTGAAATAAATTTTATGGCCATGAGAGTAAAGAAAGTGATTAGCGCAAGGTGAAGAAGCTCTTGATTAAAGCAAATTCTCCTTGTAGGTCCATAGGGAACATATTGAGAACAGTAAAGAGAATTTGCAAACTAAAGCACCTCCTAATCTGAGTTCAACACATTAACTATCAAGCCACTGTATTTTACACTTTCCAGTGAAAGGTTGAATTTTAATTTGTGCTGATAATCATTTTTTTCAGGACCAAAATGGCATCTTCGCATGGAGATCACACTGTGCGTATAGTGGACTGTAAGACATCTAAATGCTTAAATACTCTCAGTGGTCATCCTCGCACACCTTGGTGCATTACGTTCCACCCATCATCCAATGAGCTGTTGGCATCAGGTTGTCTTGGAGGAGAAGTCAGAGTTTGGAATTTAAAGGTAGAGTAATGTTTATTGCTGAATTCATTACAGGGGAGGAACAGGGATAGATTTTGTGGACAGTACTCGTAAAACTCCTTCATGTTTAGACCAAACTGCAGTTGATCTGAAGTTTCTTTGAAAAAATTACTTTGAATAGTCTGTTTCTCACCTTTAAAGGGTCTGTATTATTGTGGAGAGGAAGGTGTGTGGGAGAGAAGGGAAGAAGTTTGCCTACACTTTTAGATGTTTGTCCTTTTGTTGCCTAACTTCTCAGTCTCTGCGTATTCTCAAAATACATGTAGCTGCCACTGTTAAAATTACATTAGAGATATGCTCTGCATGGGAACAAAATGCATCCCTTGTTGAAACAGATTTTAAAAACTAGAGAGCAAAACATATGTAGTAAACTAAAACACCATAATTATGAAACAAAAATGTTGCTGCCCTGAAATGTTTTGACTTAAGATAGTTCAACCTAAATTTCCACTGAGGCAATTATAGTAATAACATATATACATGCTAACATCCTTTCCTTTAACCAATTTACTCCCAGATCAAATTTGTAATTATCCTCAATGTCAACAATACAACACTTATAATGTTAGTTCAGATAATTTATTATTGGATCAACTAATTATTCCCAAATTGATATTTATTCTCATGACTTATCTGCTTGATATTGTATTGATATTGTAAGGAGAAATTCTGTCTTGGTCACTCATGGGAGTTTAAGGGTTAACCAATTTACTTATAAGAAGTACTCACCTAATTTCCCTTCGCAATATCACCCCTGATCACAAATTTAGGTCACGAGAAAAAAAGGGAAAAAATCATCTTGACTGCAAAACAAATTCTCCATGTCAGCACCTTAGGAAATTTTTGAAGAACATTAAAGAGAATGTGCATACTGATGTTAAGGTGTAAGAGGTTGTTGAATCTTTTCAGTGAGAAAGTTATGTTACATTTGCCTTCAATGTTATAACATTATTCATCCATGTTAATGTATTTCTGTCAAGACTGGAGATAGTGAAGTGTACACACCTCCTGACAGAGCTGTTATTGCCTCACTTGCCTTCCATCCTACGGACCATGTGGTGCTGATTGCAACCAGCAACAAGCTTCTCTTTTGGAGCTGGGATCAGCCTGAGCCATTTGCTTGTGTACAGACTGCTTCAACTGAAGAAAAAGTTAGGTATGATGCAGCCAAAATTTTCCCCTGTTGGTGAATCTTAAGAGACCAAATTCATTTCCTTGTGTTTGTTGTACTAAAATAAAACATAGGTGTACTGATGAAAAAAAAGTCAAAAATAACTAAATGATGTGGAGTATCTGAAAAAGTAACAAGTACATGTAACCAAAGGATTCAGAATGCATGCCAGTTCTGTTGTTGCAGTTTGATAACTTACTCCAGCCTCAAGCTTCTCTAAATTTGGGGGTTAAGCTGGTTGTGAAATTTGTGAAAAATCCCATGTTGCTGATAGTCAATGAGAAAAAAATGGGAAAGAAATTAATTTTAGAGAAAGAAGTTTTTGTCTTGTCACGAGTGTGGAACAAAGAAAAAATTCTGAGTCCCCATGAGGAATCGAACCTCAGACCAGGATTCCATGCTCCGATGCTCTACTACTGAGCCACAGAGACTTTGCAGTGTGTGAGGTCTACTACAAAGTTTTAAATGTTTATATTAAACACTTTGGAAGTTTTACATGCAACTGCTGATATTTTTCAGATTGGTGGAATTTTCACCCCTTGGTGACCATATTCTTACTGCAGTCACAAATATACCTCAGCCAGTGAGTAAATATTTCCATTTCCTAGATAAAATAAAATAAACAAAACATAAATTTGAAAGGTAGACTGTAGACTTCTTGGTTGAGTTTATCTTTAGGGTAGAATCACAGATGATGTCAAAATGTGTGCAGAACAAATACTGGAGTGTCTCTCTTATCTTTAACACATTTTGATGTGATCTGTGATCATCAACTTAACAAGCACTCTGCAAAATGTTGTTGCATCTTTATTTTTGCCTTATTCTTGATTGTAAACAGTTCTTGCTCAACTAATTTTGGGGCTTTCTCTTAAACATTTGATCCTAAGAGTGACTGGAATCTTATTTCTCCTAACAAAATCACCCGGAATCAAACATTAGGGTCACAAGAATAAAGTAAATGATCACCAACTAAAGATGCTCTTGATTGTGAAACAAATTCTCCTTGTCAGAACCTTAGGAAATGTATAGAGAGCAGTATGGAGAATTTGCATACTGATGTTAGGGTGTAAAGGGGTTTTACATACTGAATTTTCTTGGAAACAGTTTTCAATGTGAGTGCAGTGTTTGACAGAACAAAGAAATTTTTTTCGATATGATGTCAACTGTCTTTACTGTGTTAGATTATAAGCAACAACCAATTAGTTTTTTCCAATCATTTTTTCTTCTACAGGCTGATAACCCCAAAACCATTCCATCCAGGTGAGAATATTTAAGAATTTTTGTAATTGTGGATGAAGAAATTCCACAGCAATGTTTTTTTTTTCTAACTTGATTGCTCAGATTGTCTCAAAACAGCTTATTATTAGTTTACATTTTCGTACATGACTCAACATCACCATGGTACATCTGCTGGTGGAAAAAGATCAGTATTAAAAAAATGATGAATGTGTCATAAACATCCTTTCAATTTGAGGACAGCTCATAATTTATTGCCTAAGGGGGGGTGGGGGTGGGGGGTCAGAGGATTTTGGTTGTGTCACAATAAAACTTACCTGATCCACCCATAAGGTTCTCTGATATTCTAATCATCCCCCTCATTGGCAGTCAATTTTCCACAGTATGAAGATTCCTCTCTCCTCTAAACTCTGTTGAAGATGACTAATACCCATTTCCGTTCCATGCGATCCCCACAAAATCCACCTCCCTGCACCAGGCGATAAGTAATAATGACTACACCATAAGAGTTGCTAAAGCAATGGTATAATCTGTGAAAGACACACCGATATCTGCAGACCAGGGGGATTTACAGTAATGGCTTCGTGGTTTGGAAACCACGCTTAGTTCGAGAAGCTACTCTATTCCGGCTTGTAGAATTTATAAAAATTTTCCCGGAGTGGGGGTGGGGGGGGGGTTAAAGCTAAGCAATGCATGTGAAACTCGCCCAGTAGAGAATAAAGGAAATGATTACCTAATAAAGAAGCTCTTGACTGTTAAACAAATTCTCCTTGTCAGCACCTCGTGAAACGTATGGTGAACAGTAGGGAGAATATTCATACTGATGTTAAGGGGTAAAGGATTAGTTTACCATTTTATTGTGAGCTTTATTTAAAAAGCTACGCGTTTTTTAAAACACCGTGACTTACTGGTTCATGTGGTTGTATGTACCTCTTGCTAGACAACTAGGTCCTGACAGTCTTAGAGTCTATAACTTTGCTGCCTCAATGTTCGCACGTGCGTAGACGTTTAGAGCCACTCAATTTTCCTCTTTTTTTTATTTTGCTTTGCAGTCGTTCTTCCGTAGTCAACCGTCTTCTTCAATCAGTTGGCAATTCACGTGTGGCCGGCGATCAATTCACTTCGTGCGTGTTGCATCCTTCCACGTCAAGTTCTTCCTCTTCGTCGTCTGCCTCAGCTTCTTCCATGTCCACGGGTCTCGACGCCATTCCTGAAGCAACTATTAGAACATCTTCAAATTCAGCTGAAAGTATGCCTTACCCAAACTCTCCATCTTTATCGGGGGAAGCTGAGACAACTTCAAGCTCGGTAATAAATCAAAATGACAACGAGAACCAAGATTACAGAGGAGTATTCGCTGTATTTCGAGCCCGTGATAACAACACTTGGAATTTTGACGTAACTAGCAATGACAATAATTCGGCTGTGTTAGAACATGAATCGGCTGCAAACTCCGTTAATTTTGATTCTGATTCGAGCGACGACAGCCCTGAAGTGAGCATGAGTGTGACAGCGGGGGATACAGACGTCTATTCTGATACACCGGATGTAGAACTTCCCACCATGCAACAATCCGTACCTTTTGACTCTCAGTATTTTACTTCCGCCCCCGCTGACCAGCCAGATGATCGAGTCGTCGGCGTGGGCCGCGTTATCAATGTCGGTCCCAGCTCATCTCGAAGTAGTTATCTCTCCCACGGCTCCAACCATAGCTCAAGTTTTGCTACACTAGGTGGTAGCCAGGGGTCTGGGACTGCTGTCGCGACGGCAACAGCACGGACGTTTAGACACGTACATACTGCGGTGGTGGTCGCTGATGTAACTAACGGAGGGCCCCAGTTTGCTCTGAGGACTGCGATAAACAGAGCCATTGCAGGGGCATTCGCAGGGTGTGGCGAAGGTGCCGTGGCAAGTAATATAATTAACACTACACATCGTTTACAGTGGTGGGACTTTTCTCGAGTGGAGTTGCCCGATTTGAAAAACAGTGAGTATCAGTAATTGTGTTCGTCTCCTTACCTGTTTACACATCCGTAAGCTCTTAAACTGCCAGAAGTGATTAACAATATAATTCAGCAAACAGTTCGCGAGAATACTCAAACCTCTCAGAGCCTTTAGGTGATGACAAGTTTCTAAAAACCATTTCTCCCACCTGTAAATGATTTGCAAATGGCGCAGAGGTAGCTAACGGAGCATTATTTCCAGGTGATAGTCACGTGATTGCCCCAAGCTGTAAGATTCACAACGATGCAAGCTGCGACATATCAAGTGATGGAAAACTACTGGCCACCTTCGTGCCTAGTGCCCAGGGCTTCCCTGATGATGGTGTGGTGGCGGTTTATTCCCTTGAGAAAGCTACGCTAGGACAGTGTCTATTCGCAAAGAAATTTGGTGAGGAAATTTTAAGAACTTGGATAAATTTCCTCTACATTATAATTCGCGTTAGAGTTCAGGAACGGGTGGAACGGGAAGTGGTGGGGAGGGTAGGGCAGAGGCACTTACAGGAAGACCTGGAATACCCCTGAATTTCAGTCAGGATATTTTAGGATCGGAATTAAATTTCCCTACATTATTTGCTGCGTTAGAATTCAAGAACAGACAGAAAAGAGAAAGAGAGGGAGGGGCAGGCGTTCTTGCAGGAAAAAGTGGGAAATCTGTGGGATGTCAATGTTGAGAAACTTCGAAATATAATTTTCATTTTTATACTCACCTTTCATTCACTAGAGGTATGAAAATGGTGCCATGCATTTAGGGTGTCTTTTCTTTCGTGCTTTTGGCTGAGTCGTTGTTTTTATGTGTATTTCAGGGCCGAACGCAATCTCCATAAGTCTGTCTCCCTTGAATCGTTACATTATGGTCGGCTTAGCAGCCAGGCGACTTCACTGGCATCTCACATCTAGACAGGTATATCAATTTGTCACGTTAAGTGTGTCACTCAACACAGCGGTCAAACGTAGAGCATGCACCAAGGGGTCAAATTTTGGCCGCTTGCGTGCCAATTTCCCGCGCAAATAAGTGAAAGGAAATTGAAACGTTCATTGGAATCTGTAAAAGGAAACAAAAGTAGCGAAGACGATAACTTCAGCCCTTTCGAACGTAAAAATTATTCACGTACGGGTACCCTGTTGATTTACTATTCTGCTTTGAGCTTTATCAAAATAATTATACGCTTCTAAGAGATCACGATTTTCTGGCATGTGTGGTTGGCTTTTGTAAGACAACCGGGTTCTGACAGCCTCAAAGCACGCCACCCACAGAAGTCACTAAATGTTTGCACATGCACAGACGTTTGATCGCCTTGTTGTGTTATTCTAAGGCAAGCGCTGGAAAAAATACACTCGCCTATTGCTAAATTTATTACCAGTCATTGTCATTCGAAGCTTGAACGAAGAAGTTGCTCAAAACAAGTCAAAAATTTTAAAGTTTGTGGTCAATTCAAGAAGATTCATTTACACGTTCAAAGGTGAAGTAACGGTGAAGCAGTTGTTCGTATTGACAGTAGCAGCATCATCAGCGGAGTTAGATCTGTTCGAGAGAGACGAGACACAGTTGATGACTGAGTGCATGTGAAAAGATCGGACTCAAAACAACCCGCTCATTTTTAACGCATCAAATCTGTTTCGTACGTTCTGTTCTGTTAAAATACCAGAGAGAAAAAACCTTTCAACAGTTACTAACAACTTTACAACTTTTTGATCCGTAGAAGTGACTAGCGTCTAATTTCTCCTTACATTATCACCCCTGAATCAAGCAGTAAGAAACTCTTGATTGGTAAACAAATTCTCCTCCTCATCACTCAAGGAAATGTATAGAGAACAGTATGGAGAATATGCATACTGATGTTAGGGTGTATAGGGTTAATAACTGTGTGCATTAGATAAGGCACACTAGATAAGAGTGAAAGAATTATCCAGCTTGTAGTAATTGAAGTTTGATAATTTTTAACAAAAATTGTTTCAGGTTGTGGCACAAATCTTCCGGCTGACTGGCAAAGAAAGTCCATCAGACGCAGTGAAGGTACTATTCCTAATTTTCCTTTCGCAAAGTTAAGAAAACCGATAGAAAATTTTTTTCCACGGTTGTCGGTGAAGAAAGAAAATAACAGACTTTCTAATTGTCACATATGTGTTCGTAATTTTTTAAACAGCCCGTCGCTAGTGTTACGTATGACTGTGACCCTGACCGGCGGAGTCACGTGAGTGTAAATGCAGCGTTCTTCCATCCCCAAGTTGGGAGTGGTTTGGTGTATGGTACAAACAAAGGACATCTGCACATGCGCCAGTTTGGGTAAGACTGTTAGCAATTATATAATTTTTGCAGGGGTTAAACTCTATCGCGTTAACATGGTAGAATTTAAACATTTAAGTTCTGAATGAGCGTGAAAATATAGGATTGACTTTAAGAGACAAATATTTTTTCCTATAAATTTTTTTCAGTAGAGTGTCTGTAGAGATCCGGGATTGTTTTGGTTTTGCTTTTCTATGCTCTGTGATTGGACCTGAAACCTCGTGCCGCTTTCTTAACAAATCAGATTCAGAACAAAAACCACTCACGACTTTGTCACTCGCGTTTTCTCTTCAATATAAAATATTTCATCCTCCTCGCACTCATTCCCACATAACAGAGTTCCACAAGAAACTCTTGCTGACCATCACCCAAACAAAAACGCATCTAGTAGTTATGTAGTAATCACAAGAGTGGTCTCGACGATAGTCCCAAATGACACCGTTATTTTGAATTTGTTGTGTTTTAGGCGGCGCAGTTTATCCCGGTGGTCGAGTCTTAACTCTTGATTTCAACTATTCCCAGTTGCATTTGCTGCAAGAATATGGACGGAAGGCTTTACAAATACCTCTTTTAATGAGGCGATTTCGGTCTCGACGTCGGGAGAAGAATTCCCTCCGTTTTGCACTTTCTCTCGTGGTCCACTGGGACCCAATTGCGACGGAAGGAGGAGAGGTATTGGAACCGAAACGGCGCAGAAAGAGAATGGCTAGCAATGCTCAAATGTGTAAACATTTGAAACGATATAAATCGCAGAAGTAGACAGCAGATCACAAGTTCACAGGCGTGAATTTGTAACCCAAAAATGCTAGGATTTCGTCTTTCATGACTGCAAAAGGAAAGTTACATTGTCAAATTGAAACATTTGTACACTTGAACAATAAATTATTGTACATACCGCTTTCGCGCTAGCACTCCGTGCGTGTTAGGAATATGACGTCACCTTCCCTTTCAGTCGTGCCAGCGGTGACTTCTTTGGTGCATAAGAGTATGCGCAGTGTGTAACATTGTACATGATCTCTTCAATGAAATAAATTATTTTTCCTTACATATCGTTTCTACTTTAGCATGTGTGTATTTGAAATTATCAACATGGACGAAACAAGCTGCGAATTTAGTTTTTCTCTTTACGTTTCCCCTATGCGAAACGTTTTTGCGGAACTTAAAGCGAAACGTGACATTTATCACAACATCGGTTACCGTACAGGCAAAAGGGTCTCGTCTAACCGTCTCCGTGGTCGTTTTTGAGGACGTCACGCAATATTACGTGACACCTTCATGGTTTCTGCGAATGAGGCTCTAACCTCAGTTGTGTTACATATACCACATTTTACAAGCACAGCTTGGTAAATGAACAACGAATTTACATCTATAAATTAATATCTTGATAATACAAGCATCTCACCTAAATGCCTTGTTGCCATGTCCGTTGCTGTCTCGTTTGTTAGGCTTTCTGAAGCCTCTTGAACGTGCTATGGGTTTTGAGTTTCCTCCCAGAAGTTAGGAAATGAAATTAGATTTCGAAAGCGTCAAAATACCCATGGAATACCTGCCAAACGGCTCAGTTCCCACGCACCGTTAGAAAGGAGGTTTACGCTCACTTTTTCGCTGAAATTCAATAATTCAAATCTCTACTAACACGAACGTTCAATCTTGGATCCATTTCAAAGCCCGTGTAGAATGCCGGGCCAAACATATGGGGCATGTATTGTCATGCGTGTTGCCCAACTATCAGAGCCCATGTTTTCTCCATATTTCAAACTGTTGTTGAACATCAATCCAGAACTCGTCATTCAACGTTTAATCTCGCAACGCGCTCTCTCTCCAACAGGGGAGAGGTAGCGTTGTGTGACGTGACCAAATAACGGCTGCGAAGGAGACTAGAGTAAGCGTGACACTAATGTATTTTACTTTTGCCTTAGAAGTTTTTAGGTAATGGAGACAATAGACACAAAATAGCTGTGTGAGTTCGGATAAATTAGATTTTTTTTCTTTCTCTTAAGGTAAAGTAATGCGATATTTTCGTTATTTTAATAGTTATGCTTTTTTTCTGCTACAAAAATAAAAACTTTAGGTACACAAACTGTCCCATCTCAACCCACCCAGCCAAAAAGTAATTCTTGCATGCATGCTACGCATGCCTATGTTTTCAAATATCTCAGAAACGTTGGGACATATTTGGAGAACCCTGAGTAGAATGTACGTTGTTACTACGGAAGGAAATTTCTGGCCGAAAGCCAAGAAATGAAATCAAGACGAAAATCGGCGAGGAATTCAAAGAGAATCAATTCACTATTGGCAGCTCCGTTAAAAAATAGCCTTTTTCAGGCATTCCGAGTTACTTAAGTGGAGCGAAATGAGCTAACGGCGCAGTAGTAACAGAAGAGTGAAAAAAAGGAAGCAAGTGCTGGGTCGAGTCGCGTGGATTGACCCAAGCCTCTTTTGGGTTTTTCGCTCAGCTGCTTGTATCGCACTATCTTCTATCACACTTCACTTTACTGAATGAACATCTGAAACACACTACCTTGAAAAAGTAAAGAGTGTTACAACTTGGAATCCATCTACAAATCCAAATTTTATTGGTCTTTTGGGAAGTCATTTCATATACAACAGCAGTTTTAGTTTTTTTTTCTTAACACTAACGGGCTACAGCCAGGGCGTCTACTCAACTGTTCAAGCTTCGGCCTACGTCTTACTCGGCTTTCAGCTACTTAAATTATTAGTTGCTTTATGTCATCAGATGGTCTTCCGCTTCTTTCTCCCTGAAACTAAACAAAAACGCTCAGAATTTACAGTTGACTTGGCTCTCTATTTAAGAGGACGATGTTCCCTGAAATTTTTCTTTTAGCGCAAAAGTGGAAGGACTTTGACCCCCAAGAGTAACGTCTCCTTACAATGTCACCCCTGAATCACACATGAAGGTCACAAGAGTAAAGGTAATGATCACCAACTAGAGAATTGCTTGATTGTTAAAGAAATTCTCCTTGTTAGCACTTAGGAAATGTATAGAGACCAGTCTGGAGAATATGCATTCTGATGCAGGGGGGTAAAGGATTGAGCCACTCTTTTGACACACGGCTAAATTCCTTAAAAGAAACGCGGGTTGATGACGAACAATAGATGTCTTGGAGTTTCTTAAAGTTTCGGGGTTTCAATTAAATCTAATTCCTAGTGAAGCACACGTGTTACAATATTTCTAAGGACGGGCCACTTTATCTCAGGGGTGAGTAAAAGTATAAAACTCACTGCCAACAATGTCAAACATGGCAAAGACAGGCTATTCTTCTCCATTTTCTACAAGACATACCTTTGGCTGAATGGGATAAATGTCCATCGTAAGGTTACCCCCACCCCCCCCCCCTCCTATATTTCGTCTTTTTGTCAGGTTATCCTGACTGACTCAATTTAACTCCGGGATGAAGAGAGGCAATGGCAGGAACTCGAGCCCTGTTCCTAGAAGTAATATTTCAAATCTTATCACATTTTAATCCCTTTCCTGTTATGTTTATTGTTTGAATACCAAAACTGTTCACATCTCGATCTTAAGAGAGACACGGAAGAGGAAAAAGATACTGAGTCTTTCAAGAAAAGGCGCGTGATTTATTCAATCCGAAAACCAGAGCGCTGACCATAACGCTATCGCGTGTCCCTTGGAATAAGAGCTTTCTTTGCATTTGTTGCGCTTTGCTTGTAATGTAAAGGAGTTGAATTAATATTTTCCACTCACCTTTGATTGGTGGCGGGATGGAGTGATTACACAGATCGGTATTGCAACAACAGAAATAATAGGGAGGCGATCTGACTGCCTGAAATTTACATTTTGCCGACGAACAACTATTACCACCCTGGTCGTCTGGGAGCCAGCAGCCTTTAAGGAGCATCTGTGAAAGTTCAAGGTACGATGGCAAAATGCATATTTTTGTTATATCATATTAACCATGTTGAAACGCTAGAGGAAGATTCATGACGCTAAGAGTACCAGAGAGGCTGAAAGACAGACCGACAGACAGACAGGCAAATAGACAGGCACCAGGCAGACAGACAGAATGACTGACTGACGAAATGACTGACAGGCAGAGGGATAGACGGGTAGGCATATAGACAGACAGACAGACAAGCAGGCAGAGAGACAACCACACAGGCAGACAGTCAGACTAACAGGCAGGAAGGCAGACAGAAAGACAAACCAACAAGTACCTGCGAGGTTTTATTATTATAAAGCGAATAGCAGTAGGAACCGTTTTCGCAAGTTTTCACTACTTCGCAGGAGGTACCATTGCGGCAAGATTTCTTGTGGTTACGGAAGTAACATTGGCGTCCTAAAGGAACAAGGCAAAAAGAGAAGGGGAGTGAACATTCTATCATACAACGATATTTTAAACAGAATACCCAGATGTTTTTCTCCCCTCACCCCTAAAAAAGAAGAAGAAAAAAAATTCCACAAATCGCATGGGCCTACGAACTCCTATAATTTCACTGAGACATAAAGTGCATTTTCCGTGAAGAACGCCAAGGAAGAACACAAATCGAGTGCTAGAGGCGCAAGGCGCTCGAGCGGTCTGAGGAAATACTTCCTTTGTCAAAAGTATTTCGTGTCCTAAGAGACAACTTTATGGAGCGTTTTTATGGAGTTGTGAATTGTAAAAGCTGTCCCTCACCAGTCTATCTGGTGACAGCTAGGCCGGTTACACATTGGACAAAATTTGAGCCTTCTTCGTCTTGGGAAGGCGAGCTAGAGCGCTTACATAAGAAAAAGTTGTCCACACCTGTCCCTACCCTCGCCCTTCCGAGTTGTATCACTCCCTCAGTCGAGTTCGTTCTTTTAATGGGAACGGTTGATTTAAAAAGATAACTGAAAAGTTAGCACGGCCAGAGTAACTATGGGGAAGGGTTGTCACGTGTAATCAAGACCATTTAAATAGGCCCTTAGGCTCAGACAAAGGGGTTGCCCGAAAAATGATTTTAAATTACCTGGCGTTTTTTTCTGATTTTGTGAAGGACTCATCAGTAGCCTTGACGGATAATCTGAAAGGTGAATAGGAACAGTTTATAAGCTTAAGTCGATAACACAAATTTTTTTAACATTGTGTGGGCAACCATGGTATGTACTCGTGACATATAAATTTATTGTCATGGCAACATCTTAATAGGCCTAACATCGGAGACCGTAACCATCAAGTAATAACGTCGTAGAGTAACGCCGTGTATTAACGTTCTAATTACATACCACGTGCAGAGGGCAGACAATCACAGATCGTGATGATCGTTAACAAAAATATGAACTTGCTTTCCATCCTCAGGTTAATAAAACCGTAACTCAGACCTAGAAGAGAATCGAAACAAGTCAAATTAACTAACGGTATTACAGGGTAATTAAGTGTTATCAACTGAGTTGAAAACGTAAATTGGCCACTGTAAAGAGTTTAAAGGCTGACGTTTCGAGCGTTAGCCCGGCCTACTTAACTGAAAATACAATTTTACATTCTACATTGTAAAGATTTGACTTCGCAAGTTTTAAGTCAACCATCTACAAGTCGTATTTCTATTCAATGGCATAAAAAAACGTGCAAAAAAAAAAAAAGCGAAAGTGAAATTCCCGACCACTCACCACGGAAGAAAATATGTCTGACAAACGTAAGTGACAACAAGTTGACTGCCTGATAAGTGGGTAAATACGCGTAACCAGGTTGCAATTTGTTCAAGCTTTGCTTCTGTTTGGCAGGGAAGTTGCAGCAATTTTTCTCGGCCAATTGCATCGGCGAGAAGAAGAAACCCAATGCAATCTCAGATTACTTTGAACAACCAATTAAAGATTTCTTTAATTAGCAAATGATATCAGTTTCAATTTCCGACACAATGCTATTTCTTTCGCATTTTCCACGACACATTATTTCCTCGATCCATAAATGTCACTTATTATAAAAAAAACATTCGCAAAATTCTTGTGAATGAGTTTGTTACTCAAATTATGATCACTCGAGTCTAAGGTCGCTCAAGGTTTAGCTCACACCAGCAGTTCTTTGGCTGTCAAGTGACACTGTCCGAGGATCGGATTAGTTAAATTTAAAACGTTGTTTCTTGAAAAAGATATTTTTACGAATAAAGATGACCTTGGGGCAGTCTACCTACATCAATCTTTTCATTTGAGTTTCCGGTCCAATTTTGAGTCTCTAACATTAATTAGAATGTTTGGGAATGTCCGAATAAAGGAACAGTCCAGAGCAACTACTTCAGTTCATTCGTGTATGACATTGACTGAGCAAATACCTTAGCTGATTATTTCGCATCATTGAAAAAAAACTATTTATCGAGACAGATTTTGAAGCAATTCAACAAAGGAACAAATTGATAACCGACCAAATTGAAAATGCAGTTTGTAGTAAGTTAATCGCTAAAACTCACCCACGGATGGCTGTATTCCAGACGAAAAAAAAAATGTACAGGTCAATCGCTGCTGTAAAAGTAATAGACCATAAGGACGACAGAATGCCAAAAAATTTATAAAAAATTCTCGAGCACTTTAAGGGCCGATGTGAGAAGTCCGATGATGAGTGGACGAGGCACTGTGCCGTTCCTTCGAAGTACAGATCTGATCGTCAATGTGTGCTCTTGGGAAATTATTGTGATATATATTAAGTATCTTACGTGTATATTTGGTTCCGGTGACTGAATATGTTTAAGTACCAACATCCGAGGACTAATGCATAGCAATGCATAGCAACTTGTTAAGTGATAACAAAGCAGCCCTAGGCCGGAAAACGGTGCTGAGATCCTTGCAGATTAATTGTGGGCTGGCTACATTTTAGCATTTATAGTTAAGGCATGATCATAAAACCACGACAACATTATCACGTTCCAATATACCAGAGAAAAGAATTAGTATCCTATCGACTACCAGTTGTTTGTGCCGCAGTTTTACCTAGAGTGATCCTGAGAATGTTTTCACGGTCGAAACATTTTACTCTAAAAAAGGCAAACTATCCCTAGCGGTTCACAGTGGAGTCATTTTAGGTTCACCCCTAGAACTTAATCGTGGCCAAAGTAAAGCCAGTTTGTTTTCTTATTCCCAATCCGCCCTTAATAAATCCTATCCGAGTATTACTAATTCGGCTTTGATCCTTTAGTTGAATCAAGTCAAGTGCTTGCCAACTCCTTATTAAAAATAATAATTTCTAAGCACTCGACTCAACATCTTTCACATTCCTTTACCTCACCGATATTCTCAAATTCCATCACATCGCCATCTTCGTTCATACTTCCTCAAAGATTTCAGAAAAATGGTGCCAGTTATTGAGATAACTAAATGTATAAAGGGGTTAAATTTCTAAAGAAACTGTGTTGCTACGCTGGTTGGGGTATTAAAAAAATGATTAGGTTTCATCAACCGAGTTGATAATGTAAGTTGGCCACCATAAAGAGCTTCTAGAGCTGACGTTTCCAGAGTTAGCTCTGCGTCAGAACGTCAGTGGTGCACGAAGGAACACTCGAGACGTCAGCTTTGGAAACCCTTTACGGCGGCCAATTAACATAATCAACTCCGTTGATAAAACCAGATTATCTTGTGATCTCCTCATGTCTGATTTGAACTTTTCCATAGACAAGTATTTGCCTGGGACACGACTATGCCCCGAAAATAAACATTTTCCTTATTTTCTGATGCCACCCTTTCCGATGTTTGTCTATTTAAAGAAATATAACACCTTCTCAGAATATTTTGCTTTAGTTTCCCAGAAAAAAGTCGTCAGATATTGAAATAACATTAGATGTATAGAAGGGTTAAATTTCTAAAGAAACTATGTTGCTGCGTCAGTGGGGGTACGAGAAAATGATAGGGTTTCATCAACAAAGTTGATAAATAAATGTAAATTGGCCACCATAAAGAGTGTCTAGAGCTAATGTGTCAAGTGTTAGCTCTGCGTCAGAACGTCAGTGGTGCATCAAGGGCCGGCGCTCGCAACTTCAGCTATAGAAACTCTTTACGGTGGCCAACTTACAAATGTACTCAGTTGATAAAACCAAATTATTTCGTGTTCTCCTCATGTCCGATTTGAACTTTTCCATATACATGCATTTGCCTGAGACACGACTATGCCCCGAAAATAAACATTTTCCTAATTTTTATGCTGCCATCTTTTCCGTTATTTGTCATTTAAAGAAATATGACACCTTCTCGGAATATTTTGCTTTAGTTTCGCAGAAAAACAAACTTACGAACACTTACTATGCTGATTATTTTAAAGCAGAAAAATGAGCACGAATTGTGGCAGCAATATAGCTTTGACATGACGTATCCCGCTTTCATTAAATTCTGTCACACAAATTTTAATTCTTATTCAAATACAACATTGCGTCACAGAAACATGGTGAACTTCAGACCTAGAAAGTCCAATATGTCTGAAGTTTTCATTTCTTTGCGCTTGGGTCGAAGTGGCTATTAACGAAGGCGGGAATTTGGGAAGATGGAACTCTTGAGCTCTCTGAGGCATTGAGGAATTAAATGTGTGTTAATTGCTTTAGATATTTAGTGGAACAATCTTTCCTTCAAAGCTTATGACATGAACACTATGTTTACGTTTTGTGTGGATGGTTATTTTTTCAGTAAATTGTGGGGTGTATATTACTTGGATGTTTGGCATACCATAAGTTCAATACTGCCATCGGACCGTCTGTGAAACTTGTAATTACTAACATTATTGAGAACAATAAAAAACACTCTGGAGCAATATAAGCATATGTGATGCGCAAAACAGTCCATACTCTAAAGTACTTGCTGGTAGACTGATTTTACTTAATGGTCTTTTTACTTTTCTTGAATATTATTAATTCTGTGACTGGATGAATCAATCACAACATTCTAACATTACGAGCTGCACTTGAGAAGCTGAGGTTGAGGTTAAGGCCAAGAATTGATATCTGATTTTTACCATTCCTTTGCTTAAGTTGTTACATGTCGCTTGAAGATTGAAAAGATGTTATTCATTTTGCGGTTTACCTTAGTAAGTCAGATATAACCTGCGAGATAATTCTCTCGATTAAAGCCGGAATTTTTTTTTTCAAGGTATCGAAAAACCTTTTAACTTTTTATTTTGGTTGGACAACCAAAATAAAAAGCTCTCAATAATTTAAGCCAAAAATATGAGATGTAGAGGAACATCTATAGATACAAAGTTTGTTCAAGTCTCGATCCAAGAGCGGTTTTCAGATCATGAGTTACTTGCCTTAATGCCTCATAGGAATTTTCACGGTTCAGTACGTGGACGCCATATTTGTTCTCGTCCAAGGTACGTTTAGGGACCTTAAGCCACGACGGCGACGGCGACGGCGACGGCGACGGCGACGTGGCGAAATAAAGGATCAAATAGGCAGAATAATAGCGCCGTACGTGCGTTTTAACACGTTGTACATTTCTAATCCGTCTTCTGCAAAGCAACATCATGAAATTCCCAATCTTGTGCGGCCCGAGAACGAAAACCTCAACGAGAAATTATATTTAAATTTCCATTTGGAATGCAAAACTGTTCACATGCGTTGTGCTGAAACTGAAATGTGGCACCGCAAGGGACGGTAAACACATCCAGTCATTCGCAGAATTCTAACCAAAAATATTGATTCATTTTTCCATCAACATCTTCGTCGCGATGCCGTCTTGACTGCCTTAGATCCCTTAATACGGCGTTTGAAAAAATAACACAAACAAAGCGAAAGTGATAAGTTACGCCAAAACTAATTTTGCAGTGCTTTGACCGCTCGGTGATTAAAATACCACATTATTAAATTACCATTTTTAAGTATCAGACATTTACCTAACAGCTTATTTGGACGCCATTTGGATGTGCTTTTCGTGACACCAACTTATACAGTTAACAAAGCAGAGAACATGGAAAAAAGAAAATTAGAAAGGAGAAGTGTCCTCGTGAAACGATATTAACTTCATCTCCACCACACAAAAAAAAAACAACAACAAAAACAACAATAACAAAAAAACCGTGACTTCAGATGCTAAAAAAAGCTGCCAATCGTACGCAAGTTAATTGTCATCAAACGCGCTCGAAGTTCGATCATCAACGCCACCATTTTGAAATCGACTCAGCGCACAAAAAATCACCACGAACGGTTGATAATCTGGTGTTCGTAAAAATGCTTTTTTGCTGAACAGATTGCCAAGAAAAGGAGTTAGTTTTAAAATGCCGGCGTCCGTGGTGGAATTTCAAGCAATCTGAAGGTAATCTTGGAAAGCATTACTTTACTCCTTTAATCTCAAACCTCAGCAATATCAAAATTTCATGTATACTTTTTCATGGCGGAAAAAAACGTTTAATGGAC